GGGGATTACCTGCAGACCCTCAAGTTTACCCAGCAGCTGGCTGGCAGCATTGTCCTGCAGCTCCAGGGGCTGCCGGCCTGGCGGGGTGTCAGCGCTGACCTCACCGAGCTGTCGGGACAGGTGGCCTATGTCGAGTATTACCGGTGAGCTCCAGCGTCCCGGGATGTCCCAGAGGGGCTGGGGAGGTGGCCATGTGTGACAGAGCCTTCCTCTACACCCAGGTGGTTGGCTTACCTGCTCTTCTTCATCCTCGTCCTCACCGTCTGCCTGCTGGCCTGCCTGGGGCTGGCCAAGCACTCCCGCTGCCTCCTGCTCATGTGAGTACCCTGGGCACGGCCTCGGGGGGCTCAGGGGACCCCCAGCCATGCTCCCCACTCGTGCTGCCCGCTCTCCCTGCAGGATGCTGTGCTCTGGGCTGCTCATGCTGGTCCTCAGCTGGGCCTCCATGGCCGTGGACACGGCGGCCGCGGTGGTGAGTGGGGCAGGAGGGGAGGGAAGGGCTGCCTGGGGCTGTGCCGAGCGCTGCGGCCGTCAGTGACGTCCCTCTGCCCCACAGGGCACCAGCGACTTCTGCGTGGCCCCGGACAAGTTCATCATGAACCAGACGGATGATGAGATCAGCGCAGGTGAGGGCTGGCTGTCAGGTGGAGGCAAGCACGGGCAGGACCCCAAAACCCACCTGGGGGTCCAGTGCCCCCCATTGCCACTGTCCCGCCACGGCTCCCTGTGCCCCAGGGTGCTCCTGCTGACATTCCCATTCTCTCTGCAGAGGTGGTTCATTATTACCTGTACTGTGACCAGAGCCTGAGCAGCCCCTTCCAGCAGGTACAGGGGGGTTGGGCACCCCTTTGGTGCTGCCTGGGGTTGGTGGGGGTCTGTGACTGTTCCCCACTCCCCCCTGCAGGCTCTCACCATGTTCCAGCGCTCGCTGACCACCATGCAGATCCAGATCCAGGGACTCATCCAGTATGCACTGCCCCTCTTCCCTACAGCTGAGGTACAGGAGGGGCGAGCAGGGATCCCCATCCCTCTCTGCTCCCCAGAGCTGCCTAACCCCCCTTTTCCCACAGAAAGACCTGCTGGGTGTCCAGAAGCTCCTCAACTCCTCGGAGACCAGCCTGCACCAGCTGACAGCCCTGCTGGACTGCCGGGGGCTGCACAAGGTGAGGGGGGAGCTGACTGGGGACCACCTCTGGGGTCCCCCTGCGGTGCCACCAGCGCTGCCCTGCCTGTGTCCCACCAGGATTACCTGGATGGCCTCATTGGGATCTGCTACGACGGCGTGGAGGGGCTGCTCTACCTGGGGCTCTTCTCCCTGCTGGCGGCCGCCGCCTTCTCCACCGTGATCTGCGCGGCCCCGCGCGCCTGGCAGCAGCTGGCCGGGCGGTGCGTGTGCCCCCAGACCCCTGCCCTCACCCTGGGCACACACACACCCCCGCTTTGGCAGCAGGGGCACGAGTGCCAGCGCCTTGTCCCCGCAGGGAGCGGGACTACGATGACATGGACGAGGAGGACCCGTTCAACCCCCAGGCGCGGCGCATCGCGGCGCACCGCCCGCCCCGGGGGCAGCTGCGCAGCTTCTGCAGCTACAGCAGCAGCCTGGGCAGCCAGAGCAGCCTGCAGCCCCCGGCGCAGACCGTGTCCAACGCCCCCGTCTCCGAGTACATGTGAGACCCCCCGAGCCCCCAGCGTGGTCAGGGAGCCCTGCTGGGGACGGGGGTGACGGGGGTCTCGCTGTGCCCCCAGGAACCAGGCCGTGCTCTTCGGAGGGAACCCCCGCTACGAGAACGTGCCCCTCATCGGCAGGGGCTCTCCTCCCCCCACGGTACGATGGGCGGCCGAGGCCAGACCCTTGTGACACCCCGGGGAGGTCACTCTGCATCTGCTGGGGAGGGCAGGGACAGGAGATCCTGGTCCCTCCTGCCCAGGCCTAGCGCCATTCCCAGTCACCCGCGGGGAGGGGGCACAGCCACAGGCTGGGGGACACCAAAAGAAGCCTCCCCTCCCTCCCTTCCCTGTGCTTCCTCTCCATCCTGGCTCTCAGAGGATGCTCCTCACAGTCTCTCCCTTCACATTCCCATTTCCCTGCTTGTTAATCCTGCCCTGTCTGGTATTGCTGCTTCATTTTTTTATTCCTTGTCTTTTTTTTCCCCTTTTTTTTTCTTTGTTTTTTCTTTTTTTCTTTTTTTTTTTTTTTTTTTTTTTTTTTTTTTTTTTTTTTTTTTTTTTTTTTTTTTTTTTTTTTTTTATTTTTTGCATCCATTATTTTGGAGCTAAGTTGCCCATCAAGAGTAAGTTCAGCCCCTTCCTTCTCCCTCCTTATCCCGGGGCAGCAGCCAGGTTCTCCCCTCCTCCTCACCCTTCCACACCTCCCTCCATCCCCTTTTCCTGCTTGGCTTTTGGGGTGCAGAGACTCAGGGAGGGGGGAAAGGTCCCTGTCTCCATCCCTGCAGCAGTGAAACCCCTCCCAGGCAGGATATGGCTCCAGGAATGCTGCCATGGCAGGAATACTGTCACTCTCCTCCAGGGAATGATTTTTTCTGTCAGGTGGAAGCTTGGATCCCATCTCCCAGACCTGGCAGCTGGCGAGAGCCTCCTCCCAGGGGGGGAACACGAGTGGGGGGATTAATTGGAACGCTTCTCCCAGCCCTGAATAGTCTAATTTACCCTGGATTCAGATCCCTGAGGAAAGGCTTTCTGAGTCCAGAATAACAAACTCGGAATAATCTTCCTTAATGCCTGCCCGGGATGATGCTCCCTGCTGGGAAATCCTGGAGGAATGTGGTCTGGGGAGGGGCTGGAGGCTTGGGCTCGCTGGCATCCTACAGACACACCCCCACGGGCAGATTTGGGATGAATTTGGGAAGGTGGATGAACCTGGGAAGGGACAAAGCAGAGCTGGATGGGCTGGAAGGGTTTTGGCTGGGGGAGGGGGGGTTTTGTCTCCCCCAGCCCTTAGGGGCTGAGAGCAGGCTCTGACCCTTTCCGTGCCCACCTGGCGGATTAATCCCAAATTAATTTGGGATTAGCCCAGATGGGAACGCCCCACGGGGCTGCGTGGGGCCTTCTGGGGTGCTGACCCCCGTGTGCCCCCCCAGTACTCCCCGAGCATGAGGGCCACGTACCTGGCGGTCACCGATGAGCACGTGCGGCACCGTGGCGACTTCCCGGCCTAGGAGGACATCCCGCCGGGAAACCAAAGAGCCTGGAGGGAGAGCACGGGGTAGGAGACACGGCAGGGCTGGAGGATGAGCCTGGAGCCCCCCAGCAGCCGCTGCCCTGGGCACCCCGCGTCCTGCTGCCCCACGGAGCGCAGGGGGCTCTCCGCCGGCTCCTGCTGTCCCCGCGGCAGCTCGGAACGTTCCGGAGCGCAGAGCCCGGGCCAGGCTGCCCCGGGGTGCGGGCAGGGGCAGCACCAACCACTCGTGATGCCAGCCCCTTCCCGAGCCCTGCCCCAGCGCCCCTCGCTGCCCCAGCCTTCCCGGGATGAGGAATCACCGATGTTTTGGCCTTGCTGGTTTCCCTGCGCTTCGCCCCCGGGATTTGGGAGGTGCTGGCTCTGTTCCAGGAAGGGGTCGCTGCAGTGGGGTTTGTAGCGGGTTTTTGGGGTGGGTTTAGGCTCTTTTTGGCTCCCCCCCCGGGCAGGTTTGGGCTGGGGCAGGCTCCCCTCCTCCTGCAGCCCTGGAGTGGTCACACGTCCCCTGGGAGAGGGATGGGAGCTGCTGGAAAGGGACAACATGGACCTGCCAGCCTGGGAGGCTCATCCAGCATTTCCAGGGCTCCAGGGTGAGCAGCTGGGAGAGCAGTGCGAGCTGAAGGTGGCCCTTTGGGGCTGCTCTTTGGCACACGGATCCCCAGGAAAGCCCCTTCCCCCTGGAGCAGGGATGGACCCCCTGCCCCACCCACCCAGACCCAAAGGGTGCAGACAGGGCCAGGACATCCCCCTGACTCCTCGTCTCTGTATTCCCTGTGACTAGCATCCCTCCCCTTGGCGAAATTCCGAGGGATTTTTGTTTATTTTTTTGGCTTTTAACGTTTCCATGTACCGGTACTGGTAGAAGAGCTGTTGTAACCGCATGTGAACTAACAGAAGGGCTCCGGCTGGGAGCTGGAGTCCGGCTGGATTTGTTTGTGCCCTCTTGGGGAGAAAAGATAATAAACATTTGGACTAAACCGCCGTCTCCCGTGCGGGTTTTTGGGGGGATAATCATTTTATTGGGGGTTATTCCGTGTTCTGGGCGCTTCCGCTTTGACCTTCCCAACACGGCGGGAGGTCACGTGACGCCGCGCGCCGCCGCCATTGCGGGGAGGGCGGGGTCACGTGACGGCTGTGTCGATGTCACGTGACCGGCGTCACGCGGTTGCCTGGTAACGGCGACGCGGCCCCGGCTAGGCCGCGCCGGGAGCGGGACGGGAACGGGACCGGAGCGGGACCGGAGCGGGACCGGAGCGGGACCGGAGCGGGCCCTGCCGCGGTCCCGGCGCCTCCGCGGGGTCCCGACTCCCCCTGGCTGCTGCAGCACTCCGTCCCTGTGCCTCAGCTCCGTTGTGGCGCTCCCTCAGGCTCTCGCTGCCTCTCAAGTTCCCCCCTGTGCGGCATCCCTGCTCGCATTTGGGGTTTGCCGAGGTTCCCATTCTCTTTGGGATCTTCTGGGGCTCCCTGAGCTGCTTGTTCGCTTTTGGGACATTCCTAAGTACCACACAGTCTTCTGAGGCTCTAGAGGGTCCCCGCTCCCTTTTGGGTTCCTCTATCCAAGACCCCATTCCCTTTTGGGGTGCCCGAGGTTCTCAGTCTATTTCAGCATCCTCCCTCTCCAGGGTCTGTGTTTACATTTGGGTCTCCTTGAGGTTCCAATTCTTTTTTGGGGCTCTTCATCCCTGAAACCCTCACTCCTTCTTGGAGCTCCCTGAGATCCCCGCTCTCCATCCCTGAAAACCCCACTCCCTTTTGGGATCCTCTCAGAGGCTCCCACTCTCCTTTGGAGCTCTCTCTTCCTCCCTGAGGCCCCTGCTTCCTTTTAGGCCTCCCCAAGGCCTTCCAGCCCCTCTGGAGCTCTCCATCCCTGAGGCCCCCTCTCCTTTTTGGGGCTCCCTTGGAGGCCCCTCCCTTCCCAGCCCTCCCAGTCCTTTCCATTCCCTCCCACCATGGAGATCAAGTACGAGTACTCGCGGAAGCGCAGCGAGTTCGGGCGGCCCTGCAGCTTCTCGGACCTCCTGGCTGAGGTGACCGTGGACATCCCGCCCGACCCCAGCCTGGCCGACGACTTCATCCCCCAGGACCCCGTGGACTTTGGTGTGCAGGAGGGTCCCCTCATGGCCGTGCATGAGGTACAGGGACACCCCCTGGCCGGGTGAGGGGATGTCCCGGCGTGGCAGCCATGCGGGGGGCAGCTGGCCCGAGGGGACAAGGTGTGACAGGCACCTCGTAGCAGGTTTTGGGTTGGCTTTAGGCTCTTTTTGGCTCCCCCGGGCAGGTTTGGGCTGGGGCAGGCTCCCCTCCTCCTGCAGCCCTGGAGTGGTCACACATGCCCTGGAAGAGGGACGGGAGCTGCTGGGGGATCCCTGGGAAGGGACAACATGGACCTGCCAGCCTGGGAGGCTCATCCAGCATTTCCAGGGCTCCAGGGTGAGGAGTTGGGAGAGCCCTTTTGGGCTCAGGGCCTCTGACCCCTCCTCTGTGTCCAGGTGAACACGGAGCGGACTCAGGTGTCCAGCCGGGGTGTGAACCACGTGGAGGGCGGCTGGCCCAAGCACATCGACCCCAAGAACTCGGAGCTGACCTCCCGCTACCGGGAGGAGGTGGAGAGGGAAGAGGTCTACACCAAGACTATCCAGCGCCTCGGCTTTGTAAGAGCCTGCCCTGATCCCCCCCAGACCCCCTGCGCCCCCCAGAGCCCCCCAGAGCCACGGCCGTGCTGTCCCTGCAGGTGATGGAGCACTACATCAGGCAGAACAACACCATCGACATCTACGAGGAGTATTTTGAGGAGGAAGAAGAGGAAGAGGAGGAGGAGGAGCATCCCTCAGCCAAAACCATAAATGTCATCAGGTAGCGCAGCTGGGGGGGGGGTTCACCAGAGCCTCAGTGGGGTCAAACAACCTTCCAAGAAAATGGGAGAACATTATGAGTTAAATTCCAGTGGGTTTGGGATGGTCCTGGTGCAGTCTGTGGGGGGAGAGACCAGCTGAAGCCTTCCTGTCCCACCACTCCCTGCTCAGGTGATTTGGGGATGGGAACCAGGGTCAGACTCAGCTCTGAGCATCTCCTCACGGTGCTTTTGGATTTTCCTTCTTATTGTTGGTGCCTCAAAGGTTAATTTCCACCATCAGGGGTGTTTAGGAGTCAGATCCAGTAAGATAATTGGATTTTTAGAAAGGTATTACTGGAAAGACGATGAAATCATCAACTCTTTCCCCCGGCCCGACCACTCAGGAGAATCATTTCCTGCACTCAAGGCTTGAGGGCTGCAGATTGGTTTCCTTGTGGTTCCCACAATTCCCTCTGGGAGATGTTCATCCCGGGGCTTTGCAAACTGACCCGTCCTGGCTGATGTGTCACCCCAAAGGGACCCCAACACGCCCAAGAGGATGGCCACGCACCTCTCCTGGCACCCCGACAGCAACAGGGCCGTGGCTGTGGCTTATTGCAGCCTGGACTTCCAGGACAGCAGGAAGGACATGAACTCTGATTCCTACATCTGGGATCTGGGTAAGGGCAAGGCCAGACCCACCAGGCGAGAGGGGAAGCATTTGTGTCTCAGAGATGGGGATGAGGCCTTGCAGCACCCCGGGGAGGGTCACTGGGGGAGCCTCAGTGCAGAAACAGGGAGAAATGGGAGCTGGGAGGTGGGAATAACCACTGAGGTCCCACTCCACGCTCCCCAGCTGTGCCAGGCAGCAGAGCCTCACCTGAGGTTCTTGTGTTGATGTGGTTCAGCTGGTAATGGAGGGAGGAAGAGGCAGCAGGAGCCCGGGGTGAGACTTGCCCTGATCTGTCCAAGCCTGCCTCACACCTGATGTGTTTTGGAATGAAAAGGACAAAGAAGAAGGCTGGGAATGCAGATTTGTGTACTGAGGGTCTGTCCCCAGGCCAGCTCCCGGTGACACGGGCACCTCATCCTGCACAGCCGTGTCAGGGAACAGGGCGGGCACAGCAGGGTGGGCTGGGGGCTGCTTTTGTGGGGCTGCCTTCACCGTTCACTCATCCCTCCTTGGCAGAAAAACCCTACAGCCCAGAGCTCACCCTCAAGCCCTCGTCCCCTGTGGTGACCCTGGAGTACAATTCCAAGGACTGGCATCACGTGCTGGGAGGCTGCTACAACGGGCAGATAGGTGAGGGTTAACCCTGCTCCGGCCTGGCTCCTGCCCTGCTGCACGGCCAGCAGCACTGGGAGCACAGCGGGAGCCCTGGGATTCGCCTGTGGGCAGCTGTGTGCTCACCAGGGACCAGAGGACACCTGCCAGGGAGCCCTGCACAGCGCAGGGATGGAGAGATGGATGGATGGATGGATGGATGATGGATGGATGGATGATGGATGGATGGATGGATGGATGGATGATGGATGGATGGATGGATGGATGGATGATGGATGGAGTGATGGATGGATGGATGGATGATGGATGGATGGATGATGAATGGATGGATGGATGATGAATGGATGGATGGATGATGGATGGATGATGGATGGATGATGGATGGATGGAGAGATGGATGGATGGATGGATGATGGACGGATGGATGATGGATGGATGATGGATGAATGGAGAGATGGATGGATGGATGGATGGATGGATGGATGGATGAATGGATGGATGATGGATGGGTGGATGGATGGATGGATGATGGATGGATGGAAAGATGGATGATGGATGGATGATGGATGGATGATGGATGGATGATGGATGGATGGATGGATGGATGGATGGATGGATGGATGGATGGATGATGGATGGATGGAGAATGAATGGATGGATGATGGATGATGGATGGATGATGGATGATGGATGATGGATGGATGGATGATGGATGGATGGATGGATGGATGGATGGATGATGGATGGAGGGATGGATGGATGGATGATGGATGATGGATGGATGATGGATGGATGGAGAATGAATGGATGGATGATGGATGATGGATGGATGATGGATGATGGATGGATGGATGATGGATGGATGGAAGGATGGATGATGGATGGATCCAGGGGATGAGCAGGATGGGTGCTGTGCTCCCACCTCTCCCACCACTCTGGATGATCTCTGGGAAGCACTGGGTGAGGTTTGCTCCCTGTTCCAGCTTGGACACTGGTGAAAACGTGACAAGGAGAGGAGAAAGGATCTGGGCAAGAGCTTTTCTTTTCCTTCCCAGTGTATTGGGACACCAGGAAAGGGGGGCTGCCCATGGAGATGACCCCTGTGGAGTTCAGCCACAGGGACCCCGTGTATGGAGCGTGCTGGCTGACCTCCCGAACAGGGACCGAGTGCTTCTCAGGCTCCACTGATGGGCA